AGCTACTTAAAATTTAGTCATGTTAACTATTTTGTTGTTTAAATATTTAAAATATTTAAAACGTTTCATTATTTGAATTTTATTACATAATATTAATTATTTTTGTACAATTATTTAACTATTTTTAATGTTTTTTATTTAAGATATTTAGTTATTGAAATATTTAAATAATGTTTTATTTTTTTAATGTTAATTTTTTTTATTTGAATAAAATTTAAATTGAATAATTCATAAAATTATAATATATATTGTTACTACATAATTTAGTGATGAATTTTGTAAAAATATAGAATTATCAATAATATGAATATTATTAAATGGACTTTTGCAAAAAAAAAAGACCAAGTTTGGTCAATTGACAATTTCAATTATGTTTTAAAAATAAAAGCAGATTGAGTGAGTGAGAGGAAACATGATATTTTTCGGACAAAATTACCCTTTTGTTAAAAACAGAACCCACCGAATCCAAAGAGCATTCATGATTCATTCATTCGACTCCATCCATTCAAACTGTGGTTGGCTGGAAGCATCTCCAAGTTCGAGTTCAACTCCATCCATTCAAACTACGGGTTGCTGGAAGCATCGACTCCATCCATTTAAACGACTTTAGATTAGAAGCATCAATTCCATATAGCTGGGAAGCATCAACTCGACCAATTCAAACTGCAATTGGCTGGGAAGGCTCCATCTTCAAAGCAATATCCCTCCTAGTCTGAGTTCGAGTGATTTGGGGTCCTATTCTTCATCCAAGTTTGAGTTCAAGCAATTTGGAATCCCATTTTCCATCGAAGTTTGAGTTTGAAATTACTGTTTGATTGCTTGTCTTCTTGCAAACTTCAGAGTTAGCAAGAAGGGGTTTCTTCTTCTAACCTCGATATGGGGTTCCATTCCCTTTATTTTTTTTCTTGTTTCTTGTTTCCCCAACTCTTTTTAATTGGCCTAGGGAGATTTTACATAATTTATTTTTTGTTTCTTGTTTCTTTGTATTTGCATTTCGTTGTTTAAGTAATTGATGTGATTCATTAGTAAATTCTAATTGTGTATTCTTTTGTTTAAAGAACGAAAGAAATCCCTTCCTCTCAAAATGCAAGTAAATGATGATTTAGTTGAGTATTTGCAATATTTAAGTAAAAGAAATAAGACTTAAAAATCAATAGAAAGTTGGAAATGAATGGTTGCCAATAGTCCACCATCAGTTAAAGCAATTAGGTTTTTTTTTTTTTTATTAATAGCACCGTGTTTCATGTATTCTTCATTCATTTGGTTGATGGATAACTAGTTCCTTATGCAGTTACTAATTTTTAGTGCTATAGAAAGTTAAACTCCCAATCTCCCACCTATATGATGAAATGCCTAAAAGGAGAAAACTTTGGTTGTTGAAAGCCAACAACCTAAGTTGTTGGGAATGGTCATGGGCATGGTATGTTAACCCATTCAACCCCTTTCTAACATTCACAGTAGCCAACAACACCCAATTTAGACAAGTACAATTAACCAAGAACATTATTTGTTCTGATTTATTTCCTCTTTAAATACACCTAAAGCCCTTTTCTTCAAAGAAGCTACAATTTCTTTTGACCAAAATATCAGCATATAATAGCTCATAAAATGAGTTAATATACATAGGACTCTAGAACCTGAATTATATAAATGGCAATCATATGATGATTTGAATGCTGAAAAAGTCCTCGAAGAGGCACTAGAGGCATAGATTTATGGGCATGCACAAACATGGCTTGTATGCTTTAACATCGTGGAATGACACCTAATAGATGCATGATGCAATTGGGGTTTCTAAGTCTATAAATATGAAAATCATATAGAACCAAGAGGTTCGTTGAGTTCTAAATGGTTTTGATGGTGTAACTACCTATAGGGGGGTAGATGTTCAAAACTATAATTTATGTTTCAAAATTGCAAACAATTATCCAGTTTGTTTAGTGCCTGATGGTTTCTAAGTCTGTAAACATATAAGAATCATAGAGAACAAAGAGGTTTAGTGGGTTCTAAATGATTTTGATGGTGTAACTATGATGCAGATGGGTAGATGTTTGCAACTACAACTTATGTTTCAAAAAGCATTCAAAAAAATTATGTTGCAAAATTACAAACAATAATCAAGTCTATGTTATGCTGGATGGTATCCAACTTTGTAAAAAGCTATCCAGTCTGTGTAATGCCGGATGGTTTCCAACTCTACAATAAACCATCCATTCTTCTCCATGCCGGGTGGTTTATACACTTGTAAAAATCATATACTACCTTATGGAATGTTGAACTTTAGATGATTTTGAGGGTGTAAATACTATTTTATCATTTGGGGGGCTGAAATTTACAATTGCAATTAAAGGTTCAAAACTACAATAAACCATCTTATCTATGTAATGCCGAATGGTTTCCAACTCTATAAAACACTATCCGGTTTGTGTAATGTCAGATGGTTTCCAAGTCTAAAACACTATCTGGTCTATGTGATGCCCGATGGTTTCCAACTCTATAATAAACCATCCTGTCTGTGTAATGTCGGGTGGTTTCAAACTTTGTAATAAACAAACTGGTCTTCCCCATGATGGATGGTAACTAAATCTGTTAAACACCACCCAGGTTGCTCCATACCAGATAGTCTAGGCACAATATCTGTACTTGTTGTTGATCATATAAGTAGATATGTAGTTTGGGTATTAATCATAAAGATAAGCATTATGAGCTTTACTCCACGGTGCTGTTGTACACTTGCTTTGAAGATGGAGTCGATGCTTCCCAACCAACCGTAGTTTGAAATGATGGAGTTGATGCTTCCTAGCCAAATGGAGTCGACGCTTCCCAATCTGAAGTCGTTTGAATGGATGGAGTCGATGCTTCCTAGCCAGTTGCAGTTTGAATCGATTGACTTGATGCTTCCCAACTAGATGGAGTCGACGCTTCCCAATCTGAAGTTGTTTGAATGGATGGAGTCGATGCTTCCCAACTAATCGCAGTTTGAATTGATCAAGTTGATGCTTCCTAGCTAGATGGAGTCGACACTTCCTGATCTGAAGTCGTTTGAATAGCTAGAGTTGATGCCTCCAATCAAATGGATGGGGTCGAATTCGAACTTGGAAATGCTTCCAATTGAATGGATGGAGTCGAATGCAAACTTGGAGAAGACGAATGAAAAATGAATGCTTTTTGGATCCGTTGGATTCTGTTTTTAACAAAAGGGTAACTTTGTCCTAAAAAAATAATGTTTTTCTCCCGCTCACTCAATTTGCTATTATTTCTAAAACATAACTGAAAATGTCAATTGACCAAACTTGGTCAGTTTTTTTTTTTTCAAATAGTCCTTATTAAATCTCTTATGTTTTGAATAAATATTTTAAATTTAGTATATAATTTTGTTATAATATTTAAATAATTCTGAAAATTTTAATTGAAACTTTCTTTGGATAGATATAGATAAAAAGTGGGGGATAGAATAAATTGGAATTAGAGATAGTTTAGGAGAGAATCTCTCTACCAAGTTAGAGATTATTTAAGAGATAAATAGGAGTTAGAGATAATTTAGGAGATAAAATAGGAATTAGAGACAATTTAAGAGAAAATTAGGGAAAGTGGTGTCATTTAGTTAAACATTAGAAAATCAAATCTCTTTCTTTATGCTTGTTATAAATAGTTGAGCCTATGTAATTTTCTTATTGGCTTAATAGATAATTATGTAGAATCAAAAAAATAAAAATTTAAAAATAAATAAGAGGTTTAGAGTAAGTGACGTGGAGTGTATTGCTATATATATAAAAAAAAGCTCTTGAGTTATGACGATGACACCAAAATGCAGATGGTGACCTATCGGTCTCTCATGGGTGGGTGCGTGTGGGATAGACATTTTTTGTAGCATTACGTCCAACTGTGCTAACATTAACAACATGTGTGGGGTTCTGTCTTGACTCCTGAGTAGTGTTTCGTGAGGCTTTCCTGCCTCGACAACGATACATGCTCATTGCCGTTCAAGCAACGAATATCAATATGGCCTGGCATGTGTTCGACAAAATATCCACGCGCTACAACAGCATTGGCCGCCTGGCCGGTCTCTGTACGTGCCTCTTTTGTAGCTGGAGTGGAGAGCCCTTTGCTCGGGCTATGATATCTATCCCTTTTTGCCCAGCTAAGTTGTATTCTTTTTCCTTACATCCTATGAATATTCATCACTAGCACCTTAATGACAACGTAGTTGGTTCCATTGAGAGATGAAAGATTGAACTACCTCATGATAATTGATCCAGGGGAAAATCTATGTTTTGGGCAATCAAAAACCCCTCGTATGAATATCACCCCATAACTCCTTTTTCGCATTCAATACATGCAAGATTAGCCAATGAGTCAGCGACCACTACCTTCTCCATGAATATATATTAGCCAGAAGGCAATATCTATATATACCCTCTTAATTCTAGGCTGTGCAGTTGTGCGCGCTTGGATGTTGAGGTGAAGATAGATCATCACCGAATGGGGGTGTGTTACATCAGTCTGGCGCATATACGTCTCTGAAAATGTTCTCTTAGATCCCTTTCTTTACAATCAAAGGAAGAAACAAAGGTGTAGAGAGAGAGATGAGCAAGAAGAGGCATACAAGAAAGGAAACATAAGAACCGTGTTTTAGAGAAATAAGAAAATAATTAATTTGATGGGACACACAGAGGGTATACATGACATGAAAGCCCAGCTCCCGATTTTAAGTTGAAATGGAATAAGGTCAAGAAAAGCGAGGTGTCTTTATCCCAGTCCATTAATTCTAATATCTAAATACATGGTGTGTGGACAGAGTATGGCAGAATCAAGTGGGAACGTTGTGCTACTCTGTCCACTCCATTGTTTTCAAGAATCAAAGACCGATCGAAAGAGAACGACTACCGTGCATGTCCACTTCTCCTCTCCAACATAAAAGATAAATGGTGCTCTTTCCAATGGGTAAACGCCAAACCCTCTTTTTGTTCCACCTCCTTAAACCCAATGCTGTGGCATCATCTCTACACAGAGAATGAGAGATGGCAGCCTGCTTCCTTCCACTTCCACCACTCTCTGCCTGCCCTGCCCCACCCCACCATCAAGTCCTGTACCTCTCTCAACTTTTTTGACCACAGTTTTCTCCATCTCCACACAACTTAATATCTGTAATCTCTCCCTCTCTCTCTCTCTCTCTCTCTCTCTCTCTCTCTCTCTTGCTTCCACTCTGATCTCCACAATATAGGCTGAAGGAATCATTGTAGCTATTATTATATTGGAATATGGTTGGATGAGATAACACTGGTAAATTGAACATAAGGGCATTTTGGGAATCAAGTGAGCCATATAAGTCTACTACCTTCATAGCTCATCACTCATCAGCAGCCGCCAGCCAGGAGGCCGTCCACCAACAGTTTTATCATTCAGGTTTGGTCTTGGTCCCTCACTTGTTCTTCCCAAAACCCTCTCTTTACATGGTCCATTCACCTCACCTGCCTTTCTTTTCCATTTCAAGCACTCAAAACTTCTTTCATTCTTTTTTGTTGTTGTCAGAAAGGTCCATCTCAGGATCTTCTCTTGTTAAATATTCTTAATTAGTTCTTTAGTACGAATCTTGAATAAGTCATCCTTCTTGTTTAGTTACAGATTTTAAGGGTGATTGTATCTTAATTTCAGCATGGAGATGATGGGTCTGGAGAGGTTGGTGGTGAATCTGAAGTCCAAACTGAGATCCCTGCGGATAAAGAAGCTGTACGATAAGATCGAAAAGAGTGAGAGCATGAGAGTAGAGATTAAGAGCAGGAAAGCCCAGAAGCTAATAGCCGAGACTCTCAAGTTCGCAGATTCACCCAGGAATAAAAGCTATGCTTTCTGACGGTCTAATTTGATTAAAAAAGAACTTGCATTTACCAGTCACCAATGTCATTCCTCACTTTCCCTGCCTTCAATATATTGTTCACCTATCCTGCTTTCAAGCATTTAATACATTATTCTTAGCTATTAATCTTCTTCTCAGCCGATGCACAGTCCCTCCCTCGTCTCAAACAATTTAAGCTATTTATTAAGTGCTCGTTTGGCAAGTCTTTTTGAGAAGATCTTCTCGTAGCTCAGACACTTAATAGACGCATTAAACTTTTGACATAAGATCTGGGCAGCCTAAAGACTATTTGGCAGACGCGCATCTTTTTGTGCATCGTTTCAGGTCTTTCTGTGTGAGATTAAAACGCGGAAGATGCGAAAAGTTTTATTTGGAGTTTTCCGAAATCAGCCCACAATGGGCTTCCCAAATCTTTTTGGCACCCCATCTTTTAGCGGTGAGATCTTCTGTGTGCCAAACAAAAATAGACCGATTTTCGATCTTCCCAATTTACAAATAACCAAAAATCACACGAAAAGACATGCCATGTCGATGTTTATATAATAGCAGAGGAAATATCCTTACCCAGAAGGAAAGAATAACAGATGTAATATTATGAAATCCATCAATGGTGATGGTGATTTACGTTAGTTATTCTCAGTTTCTAAGTTGTTGATTTTGTGTAATATATCTTAAATGTGCAAGATAGAAGAAAGGACATTATCTATAGGAGCAACACACGCAAGGCCTAAATGGTTCAAGTCCCTATGATATTGGTACTTGTGCTGCATCAAAATTAATGTATAAATGTATAGATACATCAAGAATTATCATCATCATTATATATGCTTCGGCCACATGAATCCTGTTTCACCTTTCTTCCCATTCTGTTTGAGTTCGGCTTAGATGATATATTTGTGTTTTATTTCATAGGATGATATGTCGAAAAATGCTGTTAGAAGTTACAACTGTATAGAAGCCGATCTCATTCTGTTTAGTGTCATGTATATTATTAAATTATAAACTCTTAAATCATTTCTTGCTATTGATCTATCATAAGATATCACTTTAAATTAAATCTCTATGTTTGGACATGTCATTGTAAATGAAATCATTTATATATGCATCCAAAATGGGTAAACATGGATTTCACAAATTTGAGTGCATTATGAATTCTTGAGCGAGGTAATCATTTTGAAACAAAGATGCCAGTGGATTTCTACACTTCATTAAAATTGTTTGTTTTAGGGGTTGATCCATACTTGAAGTGTGGACATGATATTTCAAAAAAAGGCAGCCCTAAAATTCATATGGTTGGCAAGGTGCCAATTGATTGGCTGATAAGATCTCCTGTTGATTGTAGTAGAGACTTGAGATTGAATCCCGCCTGAACCAAGGTTAAGGTTTGTGTGTTACTTCTGCATTCCAAATTTTGAATAGGGTTCAAAGTCGATGTAAACACCGATTTGGCTTTTAAAATTGTGGATGGGCTGGACTGGACCCAGGGTTAAGTACGTGATCGTCAACCCATTAGAAAATTATCTTGATTGGTCTTTTGTGGCCCTTGGATATTAACAATTTCTTCTTCTGGGCCCAATATATTCAACCGCATCTACACGATTTATCTGAATTTGGTTGTTATGGGTTTATATGTTTCTTTAATTTATAGTGGGTTCATGTGTTTTTAAACTTATGTTTATAAATGGTTCAGGCAATAGTAATAACAGTGATGAGGAAGCACAGCTTTGTTCTATTTGGCAGACATTAATATTATATTTTGCAAAGATTCAACATTCAAGGATAGAGGGCTGTGGTTGTTTATTCTGACTAAAAATTGGAATACTATATAATGTTTTAGTACTTTTTCCAAACTAAGCCTTAAGGCAAATGTTCAGTTTGGAAGGAGTACAAATACAAATATATACAATGTAAATACATACAAAACAATACAAAATGTAATGTTTTACACTTACATATTTGTATTTGTACTCTTTCCATACTAAACCTTAAAGTAACTGATGGTTTGTATTTGTATCTGTACCAATATCAAGTTTTTTAAAATCAATTCAGAGAACGAACTTGTTAGAGGTTCGGTTCTCGGGTTGAATGGTCCAACCGTTTGAACCGAACAGTTGGTCCATTCTGACAAAAAATTTAAAAAACAGTCAAAACCGTCAAACGGTTCAATTGTCTGAGTCAGCGGTTTATTGATCAAATCAATGTTTTTTTTACAAATATCCGGTTTTGGAGAAAAACAAAATCAGTCACCTGACCGGTTCCCGATTTTTCCAGTCCGATCCGATTTTGAAAACTATGATTTGTTCTCTACATTAGGTTCCACGTACCAACTGATGGTGGTCCACTTGGTAAATCATCTACTCGGCTACTCGCTTCTGCCTAGCTGCGTAGGTTTGGGATCAAATCCCGTTGAAGGTTTTAGCAAGGCAAAAACTTTGAACTTTCCGCATAGGGACCAAAAGATGTATTACTGTACTAGGTTTTTTAGCTTGTCTTTAAAGAATTGGTAAAATATGAAAACCTCTCTTAAAATTTCTGGCAATCATACAGTCCTCCTTTGATGAGGTTTCACTTTTTACAAAAACCTCCTCTATAATTTACCAAAAACCTGCATTTCTCTCCCTTTCATCTTTATTCCAGTAATGAGCACTTCAAAGTTACTAAATTACGGTTACAACTTATTAGGGAATCTTTCAATATAATTTAAAATGTCAGATTTACCTTTCTAAATTTTACTAGACCTAAAATACTTTATTCTTTTCAATGAGATTTTTTAATTAAAAGTGAAAAATTCTTTTAGGGGTATTGTAGTAATTTTCATATAAATGGATGGATGTAAGTGTAAAATAAGTTTTTTTTTTTAAATAATGCATTTCCTATCAATGACAATAAAAAGGGAGGTAACTGCAGGGTTTTTCAATACTACAAGGGAGGTTTCTATAAAAATAAAACCATGGAGGAGGTTTTTATGATTGTCAACAAAAAAACTCGACCCAGAATCAGAACCACTCTGGCCACCCGTTTCCAAGTTGACAGTTCAATTGTCCAATTCAAATCGATGACCCTTTCCAACTTAAAAAATAAAAAATTAAAAAAGGTAATAATAAACGACCAAAAACCATTGAACGGGTCGATGGTTTGGTTGTCTGATTCAAATAAACAACCCCTTTCAACTTAAAATGCAACAATTCAGTACCTAAACTTTCAAAACATGGCAATCTAATACTTGCCGTTAACCCGTCTTTTAACCAGCCGTTTTAAGTGACATTTGAAAAGACACAAATGCCTTTTGATTATCATCTAATTTTATTTATTAGCTATCCAAACGTTGACAAAAATTAAACAATCCCAAATCCTTGCCTCTTCTATTCAAGAAAGTTGGGGTTAGGTTTCAATAGGCATCTTGGTGACCCCAACTTTCTTGAATAGAAGAGAAAAGGATTTGGGATTGTTCATTTTTTGTCAACGTTTAGATGGTTGATAAAGAAAATTAGATGACACTCGAAAGACATTTATGTCTTTTCAAATGCCACTTAAATGGCTGGTTAACGATAGATATTGGATTGAGATGTTTTAAAAATTATTGAATTATCACATTTTAAAGTTTGAGGATCAAAGTGGCACTAGGCTCAAATTACATGGTACTAATTGGGAATTCTTCCTATTTTTAAAACTTGAGTGGAAGGAAACTTTTAAACACAACACCACCAAAAAGGCCAAAGCTTTGTTTGAAGCTTCCTGAATTTCAGCCATTTTGAGCTTCCATGAGCTCTCAAGGCAGTCGATCGTTTTAGCTATTTGTCTTTTATTATCTCAAACATAAAAAGACCAAGGTGTTGTTTGACAAGTCTTTTTTGAAATATCTTTTGGAAGATCTAACAGTCAAAACACATAATGGGCTTTTACATAAAAATCTTGGCAGCCCACAAACCATTTGGTTAGAAGCGCATCCTTCTGCACGTCTTTCCATATGAAAAAAACGAGAAGTTCCATTTTTAGCTTCCCGAAATAAGCTCGAATCGAGCTTCTCACGTCCTTTTGGGGCACAAGTAAGGTTCAAAATATCGATACGCCCGATACGCCGATAGGGGCATATCAGGCGATATTGATACTTTTTTTTTATTCAAAACTGATTCAGGGGGGAGATTTAAGGCTCCTCTATCCCTAAACCAGCTAGAACCCTGATACACCCACTATAGGGGCGTATCAAGGAGTTCCTAGAACGATACGTATCGGCTGATACGTGTCGATACTTTGAACCTTGGGTGCAACCCTTTGACGACTAGATCTTTCTCTAGCCAAACGGGAAAAAACCAAAAATGTGGATTATCGGGCTTCTAAACAATCGATAACCCACACGAAAAGACATGCCAAACAAAGCCCAAATTTGGTCCAATGAAGCGTTTTTTTATTCAAATTAATTGGTTATAAGTTTTTTCGATGCGTCAAACCCTTCAAATAGGGTTGTTCATAACAAGACCCAAACCGACCAACTCAGTCCGATCCAACCCGAGTTGGCCCGTTTTTCTTCAGCACCGGTCAGTTTCGGGTTACAAAAAAACATAAACCGATGGTTCGGTTCAATTTTGATTTTCATGTGTGAAAACTGAAACCGAACCGACCCGAATCGACTTAGATATTATATATATATATAATATTTCAGATATATTATATATATATTTGATATATTTCAATTTTACTATATATATATATTTTAGGTATATATATATATTTCAACTTTATTTCAGAAATATACATATTATATATTAAATATCAGTTTTAATCCATTAAATTATTTTTAATTTCCAGGCATCCAACCTTTGCTTTTTTAGACTTGAATCCTTTACCGTTCACACTGAGAGAATCATTCACAAAATCGACTCAAACCGATTCAAACCGACCAGGCTGGTTTTACTTAGTACTGTGTCGGTTTCGGTTTCGATTTCATTTCTAGGTAAACCGACCAGGTCAGGTCGATTGGAAAAACGCCAATAAACCAACCCAACCTGACCCATGAACAGCCCTAATATATAATATTTTATAAAAATAAAAAAAACTGAAAAACCATTCAATGTTTAGTTTTGTTTACAGGTTTTCCAAAAATCAATCCTATCGGTTTGGTTTAAAAATTAGGCCTCCGAATCGTAAGCACCACCCCTAAACTGCAAGTTAATCGAATTGATCGGCCTAAATGAATATATATAATATTTTATAAAAATAAAAAGAACTGAAAAACCATTCAATCGAACCTACGATTAAATTGAGCCCATCAATCGGTTAATCGATTGGCTTCAATTCAGTTTTGTTTACAGGTTTTCCAAAAATCAATCCTATCGGTTTGGTTTAAAAATTAGGCCTCCGAATCGTAAGCACCACCCCTTCAAATCGTATCTTTGCTATATATATATGTTCATTTATGCCGATCAATTCGATTAACTTGCAGTTTTTCATATTGAATTATTGATTAATGAAAACCGAACCCATAGCTTCGATTTTTTTAAAATATCGAACCAATGAATTCAATTAACCGGAATTTTTTATTCGATGTCATCGATTCGATTCAATTTTTCGTCACCCTACACTACACGGCTACAGCAACAGTCTACAGATGACAACTTGCATCGCCCACACCCACATAACGACCGGGCTCACCACGCCCCACAGCAATTCATCTTTGCTCTCACAAATTGTTCTGATTTGTTCCTCACACCGTCCTCTCCTCGCAACGCTTCACAGGATCGTAAGTCGTAACTCACATTACGTGGGTCCCGCGACGGTATTAACGCGAACAGAACCTCAAATATGACTCCTACACACTGCATTTTCTCCCGATCGTTTCAAGACATTACCTTTGAATTGGAATTTATGTCTTGTGATTGATCATTGATACGCGCATCCGAGGTTCTAATCGATTTCTACAAACTATAGCCCTGCTGCACAATAGAACAAAAGATTCCAATCCAAGCATTTTCAGTAGTTTCTTATTCAAGTCATATAACCTCATGAATAATGAGACTTTCTAGAAAACGCGAGGGGCACCGTGCGCATCCTTACCTCTAGAACAACAACCCCAATCCTCATTAGTTTCCTTCCCTCCATTCCAAGCTCCCGAGCGCGGATTTTTCCAGCTTCGACTCCACCGTTAATGGTGTCGAAGACAGAGGGAAGTTAGAGTTTTTCTTTCGGAGCTACTTGTAAGATGGATTCCCTTCTGCTCAAAAACCCTAATTTCGCTCGACTTAACCTCGGGAAAAATATGTAAGTTCGTCATGTCTATTTTTCTGTTTCGACGTGAAAATAGTTCGATTAAACTTCAAATTACTCTCTAGCTTTTATGTAGTATGGACATGTTTTACATTAAAGTTTTATTGAAAATGGATAGGATGAACCTATCAGGCATCTAAATTCAATAATTTTATTTGGGGATTCTAAATTAGTTTCAACAAGTTTGAATTCTTTGTGTCTTGACTTATCCTATTATGTGCGTGTGCGTGTGTGTTCTCTGCTTCACTTTGCAGAAGTTCGAAGAAGCCGCCCATGAAAGGTGCAATAATTAGAAGCCCGAGATGTGCAATGGATGCGACATATGGCGGTAACTTAGGTAAGCCATAGAAGTTGTTCTTTATTTCAAAAGTGAAATCTTTTTCCTGTAACCCTTACATTCTGTTTAAAATCCAATAACTATCGAGAAATGAAGAAAGCGGTGATTCGCAACCTCTTTGGATTTTCCCCGAATTCTGAGAATAGGAAAGAGTTCTATTAAGATGTGTCCCCAGGAGGTTTTTGAATGCTTATATTTGTATCCTGCGTGGAAGAAGCGACTGTCTATTCTGTTTCCATGCAATTACTATGGACAATTTGTGCAAAGTAGTCTTTTTGAATGAGGAAACAAGAATGAAATCATACTAGTTGCCAGAACAACCCAAAAAAACTAAATTTCTACTAGTAACTACATTGTTCATTTTTACCCTAGGCAAGGCATGGCTGAGGCAACTGAGAAACGTGCTCAATGGATTTGGATAATGACACAGTGAAATATGCATGTGAAATGAAAAATGCTAGAAAACGGAACCAATTATATAATAAGATATGTAAAACATTTTATATTAAAATGTTTCATGTATCAAGAAGCCAAGAACTAAGCTAACTAGAAAACACGAAATGATAGTTAATTAGCAGCATAGAAGATAATAGCTGTTTCAGAAAAGTCTAATTCCCCGAGCACAAATAGTATATATCATACAAACTCCACACTATTTTGTAATGTAATCTCAGCTGAATAGGGGCCATTGCTTACTGCAACGGTAAACTCTTGGGCTGATAAGCATCACAGTAGGGGGGTCAAGACTGAGAGCAGTTGCTTAATGCAAGAAAGGGCCAAATTAGGAGACCAACTTTGGGTAATGACCCTTATGGCCTCATCCAAAAGAATGTTATATAAAAAGTAAATATCAAAGCTATCAAAGAGAAACCTGATCCTCCAATTGTTAACTAGGAGTGAAATAAATGATATGCGTACTTCATGCAAGTTATTTTTATATATAAATCTAAACAATTCATTTTAATTTAACATAATAAGGAATATGTTTATGATGCAAGCTGCTAGTTAATTGTATTGAACAAGGCACATCCACTAAGTGGCATTGCACAATCAACTTTGGCATACCGCCCAGTACCTTACATCCCAAGATATTTGCATATTTGCGTATCTTTCAAATGTAAAATATTATTGCAGTCCCCATTATTGAGCCCAAGAGACATTCTATGCAGTTTTTGTTTTCCAAGTTCTAACCACCTCTTCATCTAATATATTTACAATCTTCTGCCTTTTCCATTATGCAATTAGCCACTTTGTGCTAAAAACATTGGAGGTTAGGTCTGTGCCAAGTCCACTCCTCCTGAAAGCCCGGATGGCTGGAACCAACATCGGGTAATTGCCTATTTGCAAGATTTTATTAAATCAAAGATTCAAACTGATACAAGCATCCCTTGGAGAGGTGTGAGTTGCAACATCTCCCAACATAGTAAAAATGAAAACAAGTATCAAATTATAGCTGAGCTCAATTACAATTGTTCCCTATTTGCCCCTTGCATGGCTAAACAATCAGTCAATGCATTTGCTGATCTCCCCACCCACTGTATCTTTACACACATATTTCATGTTAGCCACTTGAATTTCTTGACATCATTCTTATAGCACCACAGAACAGACTTTGGGTTCTTCAACCGTCCTACTACCTCCTTGGAATCCCCTTCAATCAGTAGTTGCTCCATACCTAACTGATTTGCAAACTATACTCCTTGTAAGGCAGCTAGTAATTCCACCCTAACAGAGTCCCCAATTCCCAATGGACCTGAGTTGAAGAGTACAACATGTCCAACCTTGTTTCTCAAAACCCCTCCCATCCCAAAGGGACATGGATCGCCTTGACTGCCCCCATCAAAATTCAGCATCAATAAACCTGCAAGAGGGGGTGCCCAGCTTGCAATTACTCTGTTCTTAATGGAGGAACAACTTGCCACTGCTGACTAATTTCTCCATATGTCATTAAAGGAGAATTGGTGAAATAAGTCCAAAGATTTTAACCAGTGTTACCCCACACAGTCCTTTAATTCTTGTTGGATTCTATCCTTCTCTTGGAAGATTCTAGCATTCCTTTCCTCCCATACTGTAGAAATCAGAGCTGCTCTCCACATAATCCTTCCTCTTCTTTTAGGCCAGGCGAAGGTAGAAGGATCAAAGATCATGCTTACTTCTGGTAAATTCCACCTGCACCCAAACATTGAGAAAAGCCAATCCCATAATTTTGCAGTAAAGGAACAGGAGTTGCTTATTTACTTTTTTCTATAATTAGAAAACTCAAAGTTTTATGTTATTCTCTTTTCCCCATAGGAAACCCTCTTAAATTTCCAAGAATAAACATATGGGATCCTTACAAGCGCCTTGGTATAAGCCCTTATGCTTCTGAAGAAGAAATTTGGGGTGCACGCAATTTTCTCTTGCAACAATATGTTGGACATGAAAGAAGTGAAGAATCTATAGAAGCTGCTTTTGAAAAGCTACTAATGACCAGTTTCAAACAAAGGAAGAAGACAAAGTTCAACTTGAAAAGCAGGTTAAAAAAGAATGTAGAGGAGTCCCCACCTTGGATAAAGAACTTGCTGAGCTTTGTAGAACTTCCTCCAACTGAAGTCATTCTTAGAAGATTGTTTCTTTTTGCCTTCATGGGAGCATGGAGCATAATGAATTCTGCTGAGGGTGGCCCTGCTTTCCAGGTTTGTACAGCATCTTTGTTTCAATTATATATACTATTTTCCCTTTAATATGATTCAGGATTAAAGTTTCCCAAATTTAACAATAAAGGCAGGAGGATGAATGCATTACTCCTAGAGTATTGGACTCTCAGTAATAGAATTAGTGTCTTCCAATAAATGATGCTTATTATCAGACAGTTCAATCTAGATGTCCTAATTGAGCTGCAATGATATGATTGTCCTAAGCGTGGAGCCATTAGCATGTGTAAACATGGGTCCTGTTATATTGTGGTTTCTGATCCTTAGGCATGTGCCTTTTATTTTGCAAAAATCTATTGGTTTCTTTTCTCTGTCATTTTTCCATTGGTCTTAATTCTTGAGAAGCCTTTTCTGTGAGGTATTGGCTTGCTGACACCTGACCTTGAATATGGTTTAAATTTACTTGGATAAACCTTTTCCAAATAGCTGGAATTTAACATTCCTTCCTTCTCTTAAAAAAGGAGTTGGATATATCCTTGTTGTGGTGTAATTGGATATATCCCTGTTCTTTTTCTCAGACAAAAAAGAATATACTTGTTCTTGATATTAGTAGTGAACATCAAAGTTTTGACATCCCTCAAATTTATGTTCTTCTTTATGTAGGTGGCAATCTCGTTAGCAGCATGCATTTACTTCCTTAATGACAAGACAAAGAGCATAGCCAGAGCTTCCATTCTCGGGTGAGATTCAAACAAATTAATTAAATTAAATAAAAAGCATACTAGTTAGGTAGTGCTTCGTTTGTCAATAATTTTATGCCAAGTAACTTATCACACAAATTACTTGCTAATAGTTATAAGTTTCTTTTACTTAGCCTAATTTACTTAAGTTTATCAAAGCTATTTTGTGATGGGAAACCATCACTATTTTTTTTTTTTTCTGAAAAAAGTTAAAAGTAATTCGTAATGAACCAAACACCCCTATGTTCCTGTGTATTACGTTTTTGGTGATCTTATAAGGAGTGTTTAGGAATTCTGTTTTTGACAAAGGGGGGCATCAGTCAAATAATATATATTTTAAAACGCAGAAGTACCCCTATATCTTAGCTTTTATGATTAGTAGGGGGCAACTTGTCTTTTCGATTAGGTATACGACCTGTTTGTCAAATATGGGATATGCCCAAATCAGACCATTCTATAATTGCAAGTTTGTAACGTATATTTGCAATCCTGAATGCAGTTTTGGAGCTCTTGTTGTTGGTTGGGTATGCGGTTCTTTCTTGGTTCCTATGGTCCCCTCATTTTTACTGCAGCCAACATGGACACTGGAACTCCTTACATCTCTTGTGGCCTATGTCTTCTTATTTCTTGCTTGTACTTTTCTCAAGTGAACAAGGATTTTGTGCTTTTGACTTTTTGGCCTTTTCTAATACATGAAGTTGAGAACTAGATGGAGTTTATTTTTCGATGATTCGAGTCTAACATTTAGAAAAAAATGAGATGTGTGGTTTTGCTTTTATATCCTTGTTTGAATAAAATGAGATTAAATGTATCCCATTTCCATGTCAATTACATAACATCAAAAGTTAGAAAATAACCTTCTCCTTGAGTCCTTGTATCACTTAACTAATAACAGGGACGGGGTGCTGTACATTTAGCGGAGTTTCTGGGGTTTGTTGGGTAGCAGGGTCTCTGATTAGATTTCTTTCGACTTAGATGGTGTTTTAGATAATTAGATCAAGTGATTTTTTATTCATATGGATGTGTTTGCACGTAAAATGAATGATATCCTTAAAAATTGATATTCAACAAGGAAACAAATCACATTCTTGATTTTTCACTCAACAAATCACATATATATTTAAGAACTGAAGAAGAATATCATTTATTCGGAAAACCAAGTTGAACCAGTTCCGAACCGATAGTAATTGGAACCTTATATCAGGACTGGAACCAAAACCAGCCCAATCAGTTCAGGTCCATCAGGTTGGACCTGAACCATTGATAGCCCTCGGGTTGGACCTGAAAACAATTGTTGTTTATTCAAATAATAACTTAAACTTTAAATTTTGATACTATAATCTTAATAAAATCAATATAAAGATACTAAATTATTTATATGTTAATAAGTCAAACATTTTTAATTAATATTGCCTTATTTATTATCTATCAAATTTATTATTTCAAGCATGCATATATGGTAAAATTATAAAACAAAGTAATAAACCAAAATAAAATACACAATAAGTTCTTTTCCTGTGGGATATTCATTAATAGGTTTGAGGTAAAAGTGTCCATCACAATTTTTGTTTCTTAGTATGCGTTTGGAAACAATGCAAACAAGTGTGAATGTAAATATGTAGAGGGTAAAAACGGTTCATATAAATTGCAAAATTGGGTTAGTTTTGCACTTACAAATTTACCTTCTCACCAAACAGACTTTTAGCTGTAATGATGCAAACATGAATTCCAATAAAGTATATGTTTTATTTATTTATTTATTTTTTTATCAATAGCCCACTTGAATGCAAACTTATTTATTTTTTATTGATGTACTTTTACATCTTATTATCAATGACAAATACATTGGTCTGTTTTTTGTCAATGCATAAACGTAATGTTGCCAAACACATGCAAAACTGAACCAGAGTGCAAATTTACCCTGAATCAGGATTTCCACTCCATTTGCATTGTTTCCAAATGCAGCCTTAGGTTTAGTTTGGAAAGAGTACAAATGCAAATATGTTCAGTTTTGCAAAGAGTACAAATACAAATATGTACAATGAAAAGCCTTGTATTTTATATTATTTTGTATGTATTTGTACTCTACATATACATATTTGCGTTAAGCCTTGTATTATATATTGTTTTGTATGTATTTGTACTCTACATGTATATATTTGTATTTGTAATCATTCCAAACTAAGCCTAAGTGTCTCATGTTTCATGCTCTGTGTGTAGGTAGGGGTGCAAATGGATCGAATCATGATCCTATCCTATTTGGTCGAATTTGGATCACCCTATTTGGATCTTTAGATCGGATAATAGGATCCGAACAAAAATTAAATCAGATTTGAATCACCCCTATCTGATCCGATTATATGTTATATATTTATTTATATAAAAATATATAAAAATATATGTGTTATTTATTTATTTAGAAATAAATTATTTATATTGTATTTTTGTAAATTTGTTATATTATTTATTTTTTTAATAGAGAGCATGTATATATATGATGAAAATAATTAAACATACTTGTATTTTTGTTTTTCTTTATGGTATATTTTATTTTTTAATAATTTATTAAATTTTCAAGAAAACAAATCAGATTGGATCAGATTTGAATATCTGACTTTCTGATCGGATTCGAATTCAGATACATGTCTAACAGATCTGATCGGATCTGCAGTTAATAGTGTCGGATTGGAGTTGAATATACCCTGATTCGAATCTGGTCTGATATGTTTTTATCCCTATGCGTAGGGCTGTCAATGGGTTAGGTCCGACCCAACAGCTGTGAGGGTACAGAGAACTTCGAGAGAATCGAGAGAGACTTGAGAGAGAATGTGAGAAGTTGTGAGGGTAAAAGGAGGGAGAGGAAGAAGCATAAAAACAAACATGTGTCAGAAAATTAGAGTATGTCCTTTAAGCCAAGGTTTAAAGTATCGACATGTATTGGTTAATACATATCATGCCGGTGGCTTCCGGATATGCCCTTACAGGGGTTGTATCGGGTCAGCCACTGGTTTAGAGGGTAGTCAGGCCTTAAAGCGATTGCTCTGAACCGGTTTTTTTAAAAAAAGTAAAATATATAAAAAAAGTACCGCCATGGGCCAATACACTGAGCATTTCGATATTTAGAACCTTGCTTTAGCTAAGAATATACCACGTGTCAAACTTCAGGTGGCTATACACCTTCCCAATGCTTTTAAGATTATGGTTATAAATTACAATCACTCAATACATTGTAGGCGGAGACGAAATTTGATTGTAAACAAGAAATTGCAATATAACCCAACCAAATTTATGCTCTAGCCTGGTTTGAATTAGGCTACGGCTACGCTCTCAAAAGATAGCTTGTGATTATGGTGTAGATCAAAACCAACCGATCCAAGATATTTTTACAGTACTGAACAATGCTAATCCATAGTATGAACAGCCAAGGAAAACGAAATTATAAGGTGCTGAACCATGTAGTATCACAGGAGGGTTAAAGTTGAAGAGGCGTTGGAGCATAGGGGTGAGGAAAGTAATTATGCTCTCTGCACTTGCATATTATGGTTTTATCCCAACCTGTGTTTTTATCCTTGTAATCAATGCATTATATGTTTTCCGCTTCTGTAAATCCACTTCCATGGCCAAGGTTTTTAATTTTGAAATTTCAAATGGCCTTCTTGACTTTGTTACATCAATCTGCTTGAAAAACTTGAGGAAATATCGTGTTAATACCAAGGTTTTAAAAACCAGACTAGACTGGACACAAAACGATTTTGGGGACTGATTCCCAGGTCAAATGGTCCGATCATCCGGTTTTAATGGATGGCCTGTTCTGATTTATAAAAATAAAAAAAATACTTAAAATAAAAAAGTGGCCAAAAACCCTTATCTGGGTTGATGTTCTACCACCCGGGTTGGCAGGTTGTTGACCAAACTAACAGTTTTTGGCCCAGGAATAATTTTAATGTGAAATGGAACTGGTTGACTGATTGGTTCTCAGGTCAGACAAAAAAAAGAAAAGAACAAAAACCAAAAAAGTAGGAACATCCAACCAAAACACACACAAAAAAAAAACACTGTTATGGACACACCGACCGGCAGCACACTGCGGCGCAGTCATAGGTAGCAGCACGCACCGCCCGACAGTGCGCAGCACGCACCGCACGGTAGCAGCACTCGGTAGCAGCACATGCCCAACGGTAGTAGCAGAAGGACGGGGCCCACATGACAACTCATTAGAGTGGGTCCGCACTTATCTTGCCACATCAGCTCTGCTCGCCAACTCGTCGCCAGTTACCCCATTCCTCATCCCTTATCTTATCTTATCTTATGTAACCTTATGTAACCTCCTATTTAAGGAGTTACGAATGGAAGAAAAGGCATTCATTCAACCAAAAAAGGGTGTTCCCTTATGTAACCTCCTATTTAAGGAGTTACGAATGGAAGAAAAGGCATTCAGTTTTCAACCAAAAAAGGGTGTTAGGAGAGTTCGAGTGATTTCTTGGACAAATCACCCACGCGATTGTCACAATAGGGTTTGTACGCAAGGGCAAGTGCAAAGGCAAGGGAAGACAGGAGTCTCTCCCGATGGATCGACCCGTGACGAGATCCTACCCACCAAAAAATATAAAAGAGAAAGGGGTTTCTATTGTGAGATGGAGTGTAGTATACTTACCCCAAAGAGTTGGAGTGCAGTCTATTTATCCCAAAGAGAGAGCTTTCTACATCAACCACCAGCTGATATCATTAGTTTGACGCAGTGATAACAACAGTGAACTGAGTTGAACCAGTACGACCCGGCTCCAGGTGGGATCCAAGATCGGTTTTTATGCATTATGAGTTGAATTTCTGTTAGAAATTCAGAGTTGCACTTTGTGGGCATTTGGGCTTGGTTGCCTGCTCCATCTATCTAGCAAAAAATTGACTGAACTTCTCCTTGGCTGTGAATTGTGATATACTGCTTTCATGAGCAGACCTCCCATGGCCATGGACCATGGCCCCATGAACCCATGCAACTAAGCTTTACAAGGAAGAAATAAAGTTCGCCAAAGGATATTGGCAAAGGATATATCTAATATCATAGGTAGGTTGTAGACGTTTACCATAGTCTATCATCCATTTGGTTAGTTTTTTTTTTTGGTGGGACCTCACATGCGGGAACTCTGCACCGTGTGCAACTGGACATGTGGCAGTTGCACATTGTGTGGGGCTTTTGTTTGGTTTTTCAGTTTTAACTGAATAATGCTTAATCAAACAGTTGAAATTAAAATGGACAATTCTGATTCCAAACCCCTATTCCTGCAAACCAAACTGATCCTCAATAAATCTTCCTGTCCAACCTTGTGATTCAACATAACAAATGGCAATAGAGGCTAAGTCTTAAAATCGTGAAGTTGGTTCTTTTCTTATTTCCTGAAAATCATTGTAGATGCATTATTGTTCTATTTTAAATGATGGTTTCATATTTAGATCCTGTTTGGTTTGTGGGAATAAGGGTTTAGAATCGGAATTCAAATGGACTATTCTGATTCCAACTGTTTGATTGGGTGGAATCAGAATCTCATTCCCATTCTTGATGGAACAACATTCTTCCATTTCAGAGAATAGCCATTTCCTGCCCCTCCTTTGAGAATGAAATCTCATTCCTGCCGACTCCCATTCCTATATGAACTAAACAGATTATAGGAATAGACCATTCCAATTCTAACTGCATACCAAACGGACCTTAGAACTGTATGAAAAAAAGGGTCGGTCTGAAATGCCAGCACCTCTGTTTCTCCACTAAATAAAATTAACGAG